CCTTCCTTCCTGATCCTCTGAAATTCGCTTGGCCTTCTCTTGTGTTTGCCAAGAGAGAACAGAGCAACCGGGATCTCCGCTCATTCTCTCTTTCTGTCTCTCTCTTCCTCTCTGGTTTCTTCTCTTCCAGATTTCCCACACACGGCCTTTTTGTAACAGCTTTAGGGTTAATTGCCTGTAGCATCAGATGCTCATTAGATGTTGGCACCAAAGGTTTTCCTCCTCAGTGTGAGCCTCTGAGCAGAGGACAATAAAAAAGCCCAGGCAGGTGGGCTGGGAAAGAGGCGCACAATGAACCGCATTGAGCCCATGGGCGGGCGCGAGCTTTTCTTTGTCAAGAGGCCTTTGGTGTGCATGTAGACGCTCGCCTCGGCACGAACATTTTGGCTACCCATTCTAGAGGACACAGAGCAGCCATAGGCTCAGGTGGACAAAAGGCAGCAGAGGCCCTTCTGGCTGAGCCGGTGCCAAGCGAGCATGGGAACGTTTCCATTCTGCATCCCACACGTGAGCAAAGGAGAACCCGGTTTGTGCCACACAAGGGGCAAGTGGAGAGGGTTCCCAGCGTGTGGAAGCAGGAGGTGCAGGTAGAGGCTTGGTGGAAAGGGTGCTCTCTTTTTGAAGAGCGGTCCCACCGGGCGCTGGTCTCCCAGGGCACGACCAGGGTGGAGAGACCGACGGAAGGGACGCCAGCTCCTTCGTGGGTCTTCTCCTTGAGGTGGGCTGCGTGGAAGGAAGAAGCAGCCGGCTGGGAGCCAGCGATGTTCGGAGCACGCCCCGTTGAAGTTGCCATCCCTTATCTCTGAGCAAGCCCGCAGGCTGTCGAGCTGGGAGCAGGGCATCGGGAGGTTTCTCCCCCCCCCCAGTATGCACAGTCTGTCCTGCGCATGAGCCCATACACAAGTGGCTCGAACGAGCCTCAGCCCCACATCTGCTCTGGGGAAGTGGATGATGCACGTCTCTCTCTCTCCGTTCCTTGGAGGATCCTGGAGGCCATATGAACAGCAAAGAGCCACGGGGCACCTCGGGGATTATGTGGCTGCTTCAACTTAATTGCCTCATAATTAACAATGTTCATTTGCCATCCGCTTTCCTGGACGGGAGCCCGCTTTGTATAAAACCTGTTAGCATTAGAGACCTCACTGTTGCTATCACGGCAGCAGACTAACCGCCCGGGAACAGAGAGGTGTTGACTATACTCTCAACACACCTGTTCTTGTTGTTATGTGCCATCAAGTCACACACACACACACACACACAGACAGACAATCTACAATAACCCTATGAATGAGCCATCTCCGAAATGTCCTTGTCCTTGGCTGCTCAGCTCTTGCAGTCCCAAGCCTTTGGCTTCCTTTAGGGAATCCGTCCACCTCGTAGCTGGCCTTCCTCTTTTCCCGCTGCCTCCTCCTAGCATTAGGGTCTTCTCTAGAGAATCCTGCCTTCTCATGATGTGCCCAAAGTCAGACAGCCTCACTTTCATCATTTCTGCCTTCAGAGAGATTTCAGGCTTGTGTTGATCCAGGACCCACTTGTTCGCCTTTCTGGCTGAACAGGGTATCTGCAAAGCTTTCCTCCAGCCCTACATTTAAAATGAATCAATATTTTTTAATGTCAGCTTTCTTCACTGTCCAGCTTTCACACCCATCGGGAATAAAAGAGTGTGGATGATCTTGGTCTTTGTTGATGCATCTTCACATTTGAGGCTCTTCCCTAGTTCCCAAAGGCCCCATGCAGGCTAAGTGCTGTGTTTGGTGCTGTCAAGTCACGCTGGGCTTATGGTGACCCTAAGAGGGGTTCTAAGGTAATATTTAAGGAGTGGTTTCACCAATGCCCCAGCCGGGTCCTGAGTTTCCATGGGGACGGCCGTCTGGGTCTTCTGAGCCCTTGTCTGTCACTCCATCCATGACAGCACACCCAGGACCCAAATGCTAGCCTGCATGCCAATTGCTAC